TCCTTGACCTCGATGCGGTCAAACTCGTCCTCCATCTCCTCGGCAGGCAGCGCATCCTCCTCTGCCGGCGGAGCCTCCCTGCCGTCGCCGTAGACATCCTCGCCCTGCCGGATCCTCGCCAGCAGCTTGCGGTCCAGCCCCTTGACCAGGTGCGTGCTCGACAAGTCGCCGCCGGCAATCTGATCCCGTTGTTTCTCGAACGTCTCCTGGTCAATCTCCTCCTTCTTGAGCAGCTCCTCGAGCGCCTTGATCCGCGCCGCGCGCTCGTCCTCCTCCTCGGCCTCCCTCTCTTTTGCCCGGTCGACGTAGCCCTCGGCCAGGCGGGAGCCCTTGGGCGCCGACGTTCGGAACTTCTTCTGCGCCTGATCGGGGTTGTTGCGCGCGGCGAGCTGGCGGGCAAACTCGTTGCGACTGCTGTAGCCGCCGCCTACGGAGCGTCTGCACAGAGATATGATCAGTATTTTCTACGGCCAACAACGGAAAGACGCAGCGCCGGGGAACGGGCGACGTACGGCGTCATGGGGATGCTGGAGCGCTGCCGCGATCCGAGGGCGCTCGGTGTTGCGCCGGCGGGGCTTGCCGTGCTCGCGGACGAGCCATTGCTGGGACTGCCGGACTGGGAGGAGCTGGCGCCCACGAGCCTTCGAAATTGGTCGTTGTTCATGGTTGCATCTTGTGGTTGAGCTGGTACAGAGTAGACTGCGATGTTTCACTCGAGCAATGGGAAAGAAGGAAACGACCTTCTGGATGGCTACTGCGGACTAGACACGCCAGGGTGCGTTTTCGTCTGGTCCGCCCATTACGCTCAGTTCATCACGTGAGGACGTGTAGTCATGGCGCCTGGCTCCACTCTACGCGTGCCTGCCTTCACCCGGTCGCTCACCCCACCACACTTCCCAAGGCGGCGCTGATGAGACCTCCCACAGATTGTAAAGTTATCGTTTCCAGGCAGCAGCTTCGCATTCATCGCGCTTTTTGGGGTACACATCACGATGCGAAAACCTGGTCGTACATGACTACGGCGGAGCTCAGGTTTTGATTACTGAGCGTGTCGCGATAACCCTTTGGCTTGCTCCTCCCAGCTGCGGGCATACCGGGCCCGGGCCGTCAGCATCAACATGGGTTCACGCCTCGAGAAGAACTCCTCGCAAGTGAGGAAACGCATCGAGGGACACACTTTTGAGGACGAGGAGGGAGAAGAATATGAGCCCAGCAAATTCGGGGGCTTTGACGACTACTTCCGCCGAAAGAAGATCAAGCTTCAGAACCTCGATGCGAACCTGCGCGCGGCCTCCTCGGACAAGCCGCCACTCTTCAAGGGGATCGTCGCCCACGTGTCGGGTTACACGCAGCCCTCCTTGAGCGTGTGAGTGATTCCCCCCCGACCAACTGCCAAAGGGCCGGGGACTGACCGTTGGGCAAGACTTCACCGTGAGCTCGTCCAGCATGGCGCCGGCTTCCTTCAGTACCTCGACGGGAAGACTATGGCGACGCACATTGTCGCCTCTACGCTTCCGCCTAAAAAGGCCGTCGAGTTCAGCCGCTACAGGATCGTCAAGCCGGCGTGGGTCATGGACTCGATCAAGGCCGGCAAGCTCCTTCCCTGGACCGACTACCGGGTTTTGGATGATGGACCAAAGCAGAAGATTATGAACTTTAGCGGAGGCAGCTTCCTCAGCCAGGCGACGCCTAGGAATCAGACTGGGTACAAGGAGCAGTCTCGCGACAGCTTTTACGCGAATGAATTTGCCAACTCGGCGAGCAAGTCGCAGACTCCGATGAAAACGCAGCATGCCGGCGTGCATCAAGAAACGCCCTCCAGGGCACCAGTGCAGAGGCCGCAAAGCTCGGCAGCACCAAGCCATCCCAGCTCGTCCGGCCAGTACAGCGATGGATTTGATGATTCGGTCTTTGATCAGATGGAAATCGAAATGCCAGATTCTCTGGCTGACACGCAGAGGACCACACCGACAGCGAAACCGCTCGCCACACAATCGCCGGCACCACTTGCTGTGGTTCGCGAAGAGGCGGCGAGGCCCATGTCTAGGGAACTTCAACTAGATCCACCTGAGAAGAAGGAGCCGTCTAACGACCCAGACTCCAGAGCAGACGAGCTGGTGGTGCCTCAGGTGTCCGATGGGAAGATGCCCGAGAACATGACTTCTGAAGAACACAATGCCTGGCTCCTCTCCGATCCGCGCATGCGGAAATCCTCCACGGCCAACCCGAATTTCTTGCAACAGTACTATGCTGAAAGTCGACTTCATCACCTGTCGACTTGGAAAGCGGAGCTCAAATCGAAGATGCAACGCTTGGCCAAAGAGGCCGAGTCGGGCATTAAGATAGCCAAGCGCAAGCCGGGATCTCGACGGTACATACTTCACGTCGACTTTGACAGTTTCTTCTGCGCTGTGTCGCTGAAAAAGCACCCCGAGCTCGTCGACAAGCCCGTGGTCATCGCGCACAGCCCGGGCCACGGCTCTGAGATTGCCAGCTGCAACTACCCGTCGCGAAAATTCGGCGTCAAGAATGGCATGTGGATGAAAAGGGCCGTGGAGCTGTGCCCTGAGCTCAAGGTTCTGCCGTATGACTTTCCTGCCTACGAAGAAGCGAGCGCTCTGTTTTACGAAGCCATCTTGACCGTCGGGGGTATCGTGCAGAGCGTCAGTGTGGATGAGGCACTGTTGGATGTCAGTGCCGCGGTGTATGATGGCGTTGGCTCTGATGGCGGGGCCGTCGATGAGGGCAGCATATGGCGGGAGCAAGACTTCGCGGACGCTCTCGCTCTCGACCTGCGCAAGAAGATCAAGGCGAAAACGGATTGCGACGTCTCGGTTGGAATCGGTGGCAACATTCTCCAGGCAAAAGTGGCATTGCGACGTGCAAAGCCTGCGGGCCAGTATCAGCTGAAGCCCGACGACGTCCTCGACATGATTGGAGAGCTGGAGGTCAGGGGCCTTCCAGGCGTCGCTCACAGCATGAGCGGCAAGCTTGAGGAGGTCGGCATCAAGTTCGTCAAGGACATTCGGTCGTTTTCCAAGGAAAAGCTATCAGGCACTCTGGGACCCAAGACTGGTGAGAAGCTCTGGGAGTACGCGCGAGGCATCGATCGCACAGAAGTCGGCGAGCAGGCGGCCCGCAAGTCCGTCTCGGCAGAGGTCAACTGGGGCATCCGCTTCATCAACCAGGCAGAGGCCGAGGAGTTCATCATGAATCTCTGCAAGGAGTTGGAGCGTCGCTTGCTCAACGAGCAGGTGAAGGGAAAACAGTTGACGCTCAAGGTCATGCGCAGATCGCTTGATGCGCCTCTGGACCCTGCCAAGCATCTCGGACACGGCAAGTGTGACACGTTCAACAAGAGTATTGTTTTCGGGGTGGCAACGCACAATGGCGAGACCATTGGCAAAGAGGCCGTGTCGATACTGCGCTCTCTCAAGCTGAGGCCTGGCGACCTGCGAGGACTGGGTGCGCAAATGACCAAGTTGGAACCGATCAAGACGGGGCCAACGGCTGTGGATGGAAGCCAGAAGCGGCTGGCCTTCCCAACCTTCAGTGCTCCGGCGTCGGCCAAGAAGTCGAAGACGGACCCTATTGAAGAAATGGAAAGCCCACAGAAGAAGAAGGGTGGCAAAGAGTTCGCCGAGGACCCCATCGCCGACGACCCTCTGACGCCGAAAAAGCCGAAACCTGTGCATCCAGCGCTGGCCATCGCGCGCGCCGGCGCAGTTGATGCCAAGGCTACAACACCCCTGAACATTGCCGGCACGCAGTTCGTCATGCCAACGCAAGTCGATCCCACGGTCCTCGCCGAACTGCCCCAGGACATCAGGTCCAAACTTCAGTCGAGGCAGCCACCCCTATCCTTTGCCAGAGCAGCCTCCCCGGCTACCAGGCCTCGTAGCCAAAGTCCCGCCGTCTTCGATGCGCCGCCACCCTCCCAAGTGGACCCTGAAGTCTTCAACGCGCTGCCCGACGACATGAAAGCCGAGGTTCTCGCGTCTTACGGCCGCCGACCTACGCCGGTGCCCATGCCGCAGTCGCCCCGCCGCGACAGAATCATCCAGGCCAAAAAGGCCACGACACCCACGAGGCGGGGCCGCGGGGCCGCTCGCAAAACGCGAGAGCGCCTCCACGACGCCGCCGCCAACCGCATGCAGACGAACTTCATGCCGCGCCAGGCAGATGCCGCCGCCTCACAGGAGGACCTACAGGAGCTTGATCCCGATTTCCTGGCGGAGCTACCGGAAGAACTGCGACGCGAGGTCGTCGAAGACCACCGGCGCAAGCGGCTCGCGCGCAGGGGCGGTCTGAACTTGGCGGCACCGGCGCGCAGGCCTCAGCAGGCCGAGGCGTCGGGGGCGCCGTCGTCGAACGGAAAACTGCGGTTCCCAGCGGCACCGCCCAAGATTGACTTTACGGGCACTGGTGTGACGGCAGTGGCGGACGTCAAAGACATGCTCGAGGCGTGGCACGGGCAGTCGAAGGAGGAGGGGCCGCACAAGGCAGACGTGCAGATGTTTGCGACATATCTCGGCAAGGTCGTACTCGAGGAGAGAAACATGAACAAGGCCGTGCAGCTGGTGAAGTGGGTGGATTTCCTCACGAGCACGGATCCGGGGACTGGGCCTGGCAAGCGCGGATGGCAGAAGGCCCTGGCTGGGGTCAAGCACGAGGTGCAAGAGGCCGTCAAGCAGAGGGGGTTGGGGCCCGTCAGCTTTTGAAGACGACAGCATTTATGATTCATGACAGGATACCATTTTTTTTTTGTTGTCGTTGATGAGGGTTGTATGTATTTGTCAGTACGTATGTAAGAGGCATTGTGTAGAGCCTCGAGACTATCAACGAGGGCATTGCCCACCCCCAAAATTCAAGGAGCGTCCGGGGTATCTAATCGCTCCAACTGTTATGAAACTCCTCGCATGGCATATGCCCGTCGTCTTATTTTTTCCCATCTTTTCTGCGCGGCATGCGAAATGACCAGCAAGCAAAGAACTACAGCAAGGCCGAGACAGCAACAAGCCCACACGCCAGCACCACAGGCCGCCGCCCGCCTCAACACAGCACCGCCGCTCTCGACCACATACAAGCTCAACCGCATGTCCCCGCCACAGACCATGCCCGTGTCGCCGTCGCACGGCAGGTCGCAGTCGGCCTCGGGCATGGCCTCGCTGAGCCCGGACAGGCGCTGGCGCACCAGCACTCGCGCGCGTACTGCAGGCCGGCGTACGCGTAGGCGGCGCGGGTGCCGCGCGGCAGAAGTCGAGGCACAGCGGCACCGTCATGTTGCCGAAGTCGAGCTGCTAGGCGCCGCCGGAGAGGGCGCGCGTTTTTCTTTATTTAGAGCGTCGTCGTCTCGTTGTATTTTGCCGCGTAGGCGTAGGGGCTGCTGCGCTGGTCGGGGTGGTAGACTGTTGGGGACTGGGCTGCTGCGAGGGCCGCGAGGGCGAGGGCCAGGGGGGGGAGCATGCTTGGTGGTGTGGTGGTTTGGTGTGCTGCTGCTGGTTCTTGCGCCGGATGAAGCGGAAAGGAGAGTTTCGTGTCAGGACGCTGTGGAATTGGTGAGAATGTGAACACTCGATCGGGGCATCGCCGAGGGCAAAGCAGATACAAAAAAGAGAGACGATGGACCAAGGCTGGCCAGCTGAAGCCAAAAAAAAAAAAAAACAAGCCAGAGAAGCTCTCGTCCTCTTTGAGACGTTGGGGGCGCAGGAGATGGGGGGCCGTCGAGCCGGTCAGCTCCTAGCGGACGGTTCGCCTCGCATTCGGGCTTTGTCGAGAGTAACAGTTGGGGGGGCTTACGGCCGCGGACGGGCTTCTTCGCCAGGGGGGCAGCATGTGCCGTGTGCCGTGCGCCGTGCGCCTTGCGCCTCCTTGATAAGGTTGCTGGATGCGGATGTGTGTGCCGCCTGGTCTGGACCGTGTGTCTTCCAGCTTGCAGCTTGCCAGGGTGGTTTTGGCGTACATGGACCAAGTAGATCGGGCTGTTTTGGGCCACGTCTGATACGACTTTACGATTGTGATCAGTCGCTGGTACGGCTGTAGCCTGTTCCCTGCATGCAGGCATCTGGCCAAAGCCAAATGATGATTATTCGTCTAACTTGCAATCGTGCAAACGAAAATCGTACAATACATGGTAGTACAGCATGATACATGGCATGGCAGAGTCCCTCACACCCGCCCTTCGTCCAACCCAGAACCGTCCCTGCGGATCAGCCAGTTGAGCATCCTCTCATACGTCCACACCGTCACAGCACTCCCCGGCGCCGCCTTGACGAGACTGACGACGAGACCACGGTACATGCCCCGGACGCCCTCGACCCTGAGGATGGTCCGCAGCGCGCCCAACGCGCCCTGGTACTCGGGGATGTTCTTGTGCACGTAGCGCGCCCGCGTCGGGCCCTGCACCTGGATGCGCTTCCGCACAAGGTCGAGCGGGAACACGGCCGTCTTGGCCAGGACGCTCGCCAGGACACCGGCCGTCGCGTCGCCGCCGCCCCACGGCAGCTCGAGCGCGCCGAGGTGCAGGCGCAGGCCCTCGTAGGCGGCAAAGAACATGCCCATGTAGGGCACGATCTGGGCGACGCCGGGGCCCGAGGCCGCGGAAGAGCCGCGCGGGCCCTCGTCGCGGTAGATCTCGGCGACGGCGCCCCGCAGCGAGGCGTAGACGCGGTCGTTGCCCTGGGCGGCGAAGCGCGTGCGCAGCAGGTCGAGCGGGTACGTGGCCGTCGTGGCGGCGGCGCCGGCGGCGGCACCGGCGACGAAGGACTCGACGGCGTGCGGCAGGTGGCGGTCGTCTTCGGTGCCGCCGTGGGCGCCGCCGCCGCGCAGCAGCTGCGTCGCCGCGCGGTAGGCTGTGAACTGGATGCCGCCGTAGCAGAGGTACATGAGCTCGGCGGGCACGTTGCCCTTCCAGAGACCCGGCAGCCCCTCGCTGCGGAGGATGTGGCGGAGCGTCGAGAGGGTGCCCTTGTAGATGGGCCCGCCCTGGGCGGCGGGGTGGGAGAGGGGGTCGGAGAGGGAGTGGGACTGCAGCTGGAGTCGGATCTTGACGACGTCGAGGGGCGCGATGACGAAGCTGTAGGAGAGACGTCGTTAGACTAGGTAGTCCGAGAAGGGGGCAGCAGTCGCTGAGGAGGTGGAGGCTCACCGTGAGACGAGGCCGGCTGTCGCGCCGGCCGTCACGACCTGGAGCTTGGATCCCTCATCCTTGAGGCGTGTTGCGCTTGAGGACATTCATCCGGGTCTCCTATTGTGGCCGCTAGGAGCGCGGCGGAGTCCAGGGAGGGAGAGGGAGGGAGGGTTGGTGGTTTGGGGCTTTGGACCCAGGCGTGCGTGCCGCACAGCGTGAGCCGGAGAATCGAGCTATAATTGATCAAGTTGACTAATGGCTTTGTAGAATGGCGTGCAATTGCGATGAAGGAGCTGATGGTAATGACTGAGGTACAGTAGTAGTAGTGACTGAAGGGTGTTTCTCGTGCCAATGCCAATGTCTTCCTGCGATGGCAAAATCAGTCACTTCCCTTCTTTCCTTATCCTCTTATCCTCTTATCGCGACCCCTGGAATTTGTGACGACATGGCCACGAGATGAGGTACATGTACATGTACCCACCTTAGGTAGGTACCTTACTGTACGTGGTCCAGGGCTCCAGACCCACTGGAGGCGGCGCACAGTAGCGGTTGTTGTCCCGCTACAGGCCGCTGTTCCTCTGTCAGCTACGGCGGGCTGTAGGGGCCAGACGCCAGGTTGGCCCACTGTCCATGTCCCCTGTCTTTCCTGTGCACAGGCGTTGTGTTGTCCCTGTACAGGCGTTGTGTTGTCCCTGTACAGGCGTTGTGTTGTCCCTGTACAGGCGCTGTGTTGTCCCTGTGCACAGGCATTGTGTTCTTCCGTCCACTGAAGGGAAGTTCTGGAGGAATGTGCCGAACCCAGTTCCGAAGCATCGCGATTCTGGTCGCTACACAGTCTGTTCATGGGTATCTACCTACCTAAGGTACCTTAGTGACACTGGCATGTTCTCTATGCATTTACTAATTATTTCAAACAGATTTCTGCAAGTTCATGGAGTCTTCAGAAGCATATAGTGCTGGCACCACGTCAGCCAAGCAGGCAAACAGGCTAGCAGGCTAGCAGGCAAGCAGGCTAGCAGGCAAGCAGGCATCGTGAGATTCACAAGCCAAAGCCAGAACCATCGAGAGCCTGGCGCCTGGAGTTCGATTCCCGGCAACGCATCCAGGTCCCAAATAGCGAAAGCAACTAAGCCCCGCCGCACGAGCCAGGTCCCGCACCCCACTCTGGCCATAACCGCAATTCTTCACCTGCTCACTGGCTCCTCTCGTCCGAAACCAGGACGCCCCGCGGCGCCTCATTGGCTCGAGGCGTACCACCTGTGACCTCAGACCTCAGCGAGAGAGGGAAGCAGGGACCCAGCAGACCCATCAGGCGCGGACCAGAGGGAGTTGCCCTCGAGCCTTTTGCGGTGCGACGCCAAACTCGGGCAGGAGCCATGCGAGACGAGACGAGACGACATCTCTCTCTCTCTCTCTCTCTTTCGCTCTCGCTCTCTCGCTCTCTCTCTTTCGCTCTCGCTCTCTCGCTCTCTCTCTTCTCACCTTCTCACCTCATTCACCTTCCTTCTCTACCTTGCATCATCATAACGGACTCCATCCTCACAACCACAGCCAGCTTTTGTGCGCCACGACGCCATACCTGCGACGCCAGACCAGACAGACTCTTCCTTTTCCGTTGGTCGACTGCTCACGAAGCATGTGCATGTGACACCCACCCACCACCGCGCAGTCCTCGACATCATCACTGCCTCCCTTCGTCACTCACTTTTTGGATACCCCTCTCTGAACCACCTCGTCACTTTTCCCTTCCTCCTCCTCCTCCTCCTCCTCCTCCTCCCCCACAAACGCCTCGCATTCGGCATCAAAACACACCTCCATCATGTCTTCCAGAGTCGAGATGCCAAACATCGGCGCCCTGTTGGCCCCCATCCTGCCCGCTCTCCCTGCCGCCGCCGTCTCAAAACAGCCCGCCATCGGTGTCCTGCCCCTGCTCTCCCCCATTCTGAGGCAAAGAGTCCAGCTTCTGGGCCTCAACAGCACAGAGCCCTGGCTGCGTCTGCTCAGCTACGACGCCGCCAAAACGGCCCGTCTCTCCGAGGTCGTCCAGAGCGGCCGTCTCGAGCCTCACCAGGTGTCCGGCGAGGTCGAGGTCGACTGGGAGTATGATGCCAAGACAAAGTACCGCCGTCTTGATCTCGAAACCCTCAACGCCTTTGTGGTCCTGGAGGAGCTCGAGCTCGCCTTTAAGCTTGTGTACTGCGTTGGCGACCAGGATGGCGGCGGCGACGGGTGGAGGGTCGGAGAGGTCACTGTCGCCGAGAAGCCGAATCCTTTTGCAGATTTCGCCGGCCACTCGACCATTGCAGAGGCCGACAAGGCCTTCGAGGAGGGCAAGGCGGCACCCGCGCCGGCGTCGGTCACGCCAGGCTTCTCCGGTACGCCCGACATGGACGACGGCAACGACGACTACTGGAACCAGTACAACGAGACGCCCGCCCGGTCACCCGCCCCCCAGCGGTCTCCCGCGCCCCTGGCGCCCCAGCCCTCCTCGCACCTCGGCATGTTCCGCACCGACTCGGCCGAGGACAGTTACTACGCCCAGTATGACGATGTGCAGCCAGCCATGGACAACCACGACCCTGACGAGGAGCCGCTCGCCCAGTCGCAGCAGCAGCCCGAGGTACCACCACCTGCCCGCATGCTCGTCCAGCCCCAGGCCGAGAAGCCTGCGAGCCCAGGCCCCGATCTCGAGGCCGAGCGACGCGCCGCTCAGGTGCTGCACCCGCGCCCGGCGTCGAGCGCCAGCAGCAACGGCAGCCGCACCGTCGAGCGCTTCGAGGAGATGGCTGGCAGGCAGGAGGCCAGCGGCTTCGCCATCAAGCAGCACGTTTCCAAGAGCATTCGCAGCTTGTGGCAGCTGTCGCAGGCCTCGGGGATCGATCGCGAGGATTTCGAGAGGCTCGTGCAGAACGAGCTCGATCTCGCCCACATGACGCAGGATTCATGAGTAGCCGTTGTCGAGTCGCAAACCGTGTAAAGGGACAGTCATTCGAAGCATGTGTGCGTAAAATGTTTTCTTTTCGAAAGGAGGGCAGGGAAATATGTCATGAGGATTTAGGCGGCTGCCTTGTAGATGTAGGATATCCCCCTTGTGCTTTGGCTTACGATTGGCATACGCGCCGCGCTGGTGTTTGGGGATCTCCGGTGCATTGTCCGGGATCGTTGGCGTGGGTGCGCCACGTTTGGCGTTTGGGTGTTTTCTGGGGGGTCAATAGCTCAATACAGACCAGCATTCGGGACAGCATTCAAGACAGGACAGCAGACCGAAGAACGGGTGCGAAGGCGCGCGAATGAAAGCATAAATAGGTGCTCGGAGACGTGACTGAATCACAGCAAATTCCCGTCCACCATGTTGCGATCTGACAGCGAGACACGGTGGGTCCATGCAAGCTGTTGGCTACAGATCAGTCTGTTCCAAAAAAACAGCTAATTAGCGGCGGCCTCAATCTCAGGTCAATCTGCGGCAGCAGCGGGACCCACGACACGGGGGCTAGTCAGGGGCTCATGGTTGCGAGAACGTACATATGAGGACCGCGGAGAGCCGTTCAAGCTGCGGAGGGCCAGAATTCAGATGTGTTATGACCCCCCTACTTATACTTTATTGCCTGCAAACCACATATAGAAGACCTCTTGGCTGTGCTCCAAATCAAGCACTGACAATAAGGAGATTGGGGCTTACTATCAGTGCTTGATCGCACATCGCGGGTGAACTTTTCTTCACGCCTAGCCTTGGCCCCTTGATTGACACAACAAAAGCAAGACGTAACACAGTCTCAGTGCGGTCCTTCATGACAAGACTGTGCCATTATCCTGCCTCGGTGACTACCTCTTGTTCCTTTGGTGAGGTAGAGTTTCGACCATGCAGGGGAGATGCCTGCTCCTCTCGAGTTCACGTATCTCGCGCCGCGGCATTTCCCTCCTTAATGCGAAAGTTCAATACATGCTGCCGCTTCTGCCTGACCTCGGTCGACTTCGCGAGTCGCGACGCTCAGAAGCGTAATGAATCAGCAACAATAAAAAAGGCTCTCAAATCAGAATGAATCTGCAATGGTCTCAATTCATTCGCCGGGGACGTGCAAGCCAGCTTTTTTAGGAATTGTTCATTATTTAATACTGAAAGCTGAGGAACCCAGCTTGTGAGAGGCGGCTAGGGGTTCAAGATCCGTATGAGCAATCAAATTGGACCTGCCAACTACCTGTGGTGTTCAGCTTGTGAAATGTCAGCTTTTTGATAATTACACCAATCTTGCGCGGAGCCTAAATTGTTCCAGACCTTTAAACATAGTGATCGGCTTATGAGATTTCTTTTTCGCGACATCCTTTCTGTGGAAAGAGACGTGCACTGGATTTCGTCTTCTAGTACTTTGGATCGCAGACTCTTCGCAACAATGCTGATTTGCTATGTCTTCATTTAACAACCCCTGGAGGTCCGTTCCGGGTCTCAACAGAGGTCTTATAGACATATTGTCAGGCGACCCTGCGGAGCCGCCATACAGGGGGTCGGTCAGGGGCTAGGGGCTACGAGAAATGTGAATATATAGGCTGCGGAGGGCCAGAATTCAGATGTGCTCCTACCCCCTATCTATATTCTATAACCTGCGGACTACGTGCGGAAGCCGTCTTCACTCTGCTCTACACAACGCTCTAGCACATATTAATACAAAACGTGAAACACAACGCCATTTGCCCTTATTTCTTAATTCACAACCTACCTCAATAAGATAACGGCCAAAAGCTACAGTGAACCTTTTCATGCAAACAGGAGATGAGTATCATGCTTTTCGAACAGATCTTCTGCTACAACGCTCGAGAACGGCGCATCTATCCAGGAATGTCCAATTTGAATACTGATAACCTTTCTTGGAGTGTCGCAACGCCACACGACTTTTAAGAGGCTGGGATCCACAGAAATCATTCCAACGACGGCGTGAGATCAGACCCGGCGTTCAACAAAACGTGATAGATCAGATATATAACTTGTCATTTTTTGAGGCGCACGCCTCAAATAACATCCGAAATGAGGCGGCCTGCCTTCCTACCATGCTGCCATTTGTGGGTCGGAGTACGTAAGGCACAATGGTCTTATGATGTCGGTACATACCATATAGTATGGGAGTTGCTGCTTGCTGTTGAAATGCTGTCGCTTCTGTCGCATACCAAATTTCGCAGCAAGAGGTGGCCCACCAAGCTGTTTTGGAAAGGTATGATCGTGCGTCCTCGATGCAGCCCTTCCTGCCTGCGCAGATAGTCCTTAGTTTGTGCCCCGATCACCTGTCCACTTGGGTGGCGCTGCTATGAGAAGGGGTTCTTCCCGTCAGGCTTAGACTTTTTTTCTCCGACGTTTCGAGAACGCGCAAGATCGAGCGGACTGCCTACTTACAAGAGGTCTTGCACTGCCTCATCGTGGGATGGCCGGGAAGACGGCCAACAGTCGTGTTCGTTCGAGTTCTCGCCACTTTGAGACGCTCCTGGCAAGCTTAACCCCAAAAGACAACACCACAAAGCGCTCATGATTGCGAACATCTACAGGACTAACTACACATGCAGATCTTCGCCTGAACCCACAAGTAGCCGCGTTCCGATGTCGCGTTTTTCGAAGCTACAGGGTTCCCGAGCGAGATGCCACAACCTCGACGGCCGTAACAATCTCAGTCTTTAAGACTGTTGGTTCACGGATGCGCAGCACGCCGGTCGAGGCCTTGTCGCCGGATTAACGATCACTGCCTCTGAGTACTTTCTCCGGAGTGAGACAAGGTGGATCACGATCAGCACATCCGCTGCTCCAAGCGGGTTTCTGTCTCAGATTAAACAATCAGACAATGTACCCATCCATGCTTCGGGTGCTGCCGATCGAGATCACAATAGGGGGATTTACAAGCCTCCAGGGATATGATGGGGAGGAATTGACTTCATTCTGCGGTCTGAATTTGAAATACTGGGATCATTGGAACAGAGCTCGAAAGTTCCATGTGAGACATCCTGCACATGGCTCGTGTCATGTTGAAGGCTTTCAACGAACTCAAGCCTTCAGCGCCTCATTAGGATTTGGCAGCCTCTATTACAAGACCGAAGACGTCCTTTATCAACGCCACTATTGCAACGTTCTTCCGCATGGTCTCTTCCTAGCCTCTCAGACAAGGGCGTGAGACTTGCCACCGGCGCGACGAACCGAGCATGGTCGGCATTCCCAGACATATCCGCGAAACCTCGCACCTTTCTCTTTGCGTCCACAGTGGCGCCCAGCGAAGCCCTTCGCGATACAGCTCTAAGTTTGGCGGTCGGTGGAGGTGTAAGTGCCGGCGCCTCTCCGCGAACGGTCCAGAATGCTACGCACAAGCCCGCATGGCTCTTCTGGGGGAAGGGGAAGCTGCGCTTCAGGAAACGTGACGGCCACATAGCCTGCCTGTTTTGGCGAGAAGGGACGTCATATTCGAACATGGTCGAGGCCATGGAGCGTGAGCAGACGTTCGTTTGCGGCTTCACGGCGATCCCTTTCCTCGGATCCTCCCATCGGATCCCAGTCTCTTCTGCCCTCACCTTGCGCCTCATGCTCCTCTCTAACCCCTTAGATCGACGTTCGGCCGTAGGTGGCCGGCTCCTTGGCAGATAGTTGCCTTACTCCAGCCACAACGACCTCGATCGAGAGGGCCGAAAACAGCTGTCATGGGAATTTGGCTCGCTCACCCTGGAAGTCATTGCATCATGAAAAAGATTGCGATCAGAGCGCGTAGCTGTCGTCGGCAAGGATCACTCCCTGTACGAGTTCTCTCATAAGAAAGGACTCGCTGTTCGGTAGATGATCAACAGCTAAACACTTGTGAGGTTCTACGCAGTTGTGCTAGACTAATACTATCCTACCTATCTCACTTAGCCATACTTTGCAATTATTTACCTTAATGACAATCTAATTCTACGAAGCAAGGCGTCACGATGAGAGGCCCCACATCTTGGCCCGTCGGGCTGGCGGCGGTCTCCTCGCTCGCCAGCCTCTGCGTATCGCCGGCCAACGGCTTCTCGCCCTCCTCCAAGCTCTGGGACAGGATCCAGAAATCCAACATCTTTACGGCGGAGCACGAGCTCGGCAGCCGGTCTCTCGACGACGGCGTCAGCAGCGGCTGCCCGACCGCCCTCGACCTATGCGTCGATGGCGCCTGTACCAACGTCACCATCGGCATCGACCCGCTTCACTGCGGCGCCTCACGAACCGCTTGCAAGGCAGGCGAGATCTGCGTCGTCGGCACCTGCCGGCCGCTGAGCTTCCACGAGCCCGCGGCATGCGGCAGCGACGACGCGCCGGGCAAGGCAGGTCGCTGGTGCCGCCGCGGGTCGTCGCTGCCCATCGAGGTGAGCACGAGCTCGCGCGCCTGCGGCTCCCACAAGAGGAGGTGCGACCCGGGCACGCTCTGCGTCAGCGGCTTCTGCGAAAAGATCGACCTCGGAAGCGACCCCCTGCACTGCGGCGGCAGCGGCGTCGTCTGCAGCGGCGTTCGTTCTGCGGAGGCGGGGCACGTACTGGCCTCCGAATGGCGCCTGCCGGTGCGCACGTCGTCGGCACCTCCCCCCTCACGTTGCAAGGGCGGACGACCAGTGCGCCCTCGGCCTCGCGTGTCGACACGGCGTCTGCGAGGAGATCAACATCGCGCTCGATCCCTACAGGTGCGGCGCCCACAGCACCGTCCAGTGCCTTGCTGGCGAGACTTGCCACGGCGGGAGCTGCGACCGCATCGCCCTCGGCTGCGGTGCTGAAGATGGCGACGAGGGCAACGACCCTGTCGAGGCCTGCGAGAAGACGTGCGACCTCGGAAGCGTGTGCTACAACAACGAGTGCATCCCGCTGCATGTCGACCTCGACGTCGCCGACTGCCACGGCAAGCCGTGCGCGGCCGGCGATGTCTGTCTCTCGGGCATCTGTACGTCTCGTCTCGCGAGGAACGCCACTGGTCCGATCGTTGGGTGTGCTGGTGCCCCTCCTGGGTCTGGCTCTCCTGGCGGTCAGCCCACGGAACAACCTGGCGCGTCTGCTGGTGCATCTGGTCTGCCTGGCGGTCAGCAGCCTACTGGCGTGCCTGTAGTCCCGGGACCTGTCGGACAGCCTGGTGCCGAACAGCCTGGTCAGCCTGGTGCAGGGCAGACTGGCTCAGACCAGCCCGGCCAGCCCGGTGGCTCCAGTCCTGTTGGCGGCCCCGGTGATCAGCCAGGCCAACCTGGAGTGACGCCTGGAGAGCCCGGTGGCTCAGGAATCGGTGGTGGCTCGAGTGATGGTCAGACGGGTGTAGGCGGCGGTCAACCCGCTGGCCAACTTCCGCCTGGTCAGCTTCCGCCTGGTCAGCTTCCGCCTGGTCAGCTTCCTCCTGGTCAGCTCCCCCCCGATCAGCCGGCTCCCGGTCAGCTGCCTCCAGGTGAACTGCCGCCCGGCCAACTCCCACCAGACCAGCCAGCCCCTGGCCAGCCAGCACCTGGAGAGCCCATGCCCGGCCAAAACCCCTCGGACCCGGGGCAACCTGGGCTGACTCCTCCAACCCAACCTGGCACCGGCCCAGAGTCCCCTGGACAAGGCCCAACTGATCAGCAACCACCTATTCAGATCCCCCCCATTCAGTCACCACCCGACCAGCAACCCCCTGATCAGACTTTCCCTGATCCTCAGGTTCCGGTCGATGTGCCTCCCGGACAACAGCCTTCGGGCCAGAACCCTGGTCAATCCCCTGGCCAGACTCCTGGTCAATCTCCTGGCCAGAGCCCTCCCGATCAACAAGGGCCGGGCCAAGTCCCCGCTGATCAGCCACCCTCGACTCCAACATCTCCGAGCGCCGGTGCCGGCGGTTCTCCCTCGGTGCCATCCCCCGGTGGTGACTCCGGCTTCGTCAAGCTCCCACAGCCAGGCCTCCCCGGCATGTCTACGGATCCCATCCAGTCACCCCCGCCACAACGTTGCCCCGGCGAGCAGGTTCTTGTTGGCACTCTCTGCAAAGACATCTTCGGGGACCCGGAGAACTGCGGAGAGGCCTGGAACCTCTGCCCGCCCAACAACATTTGTGTTCAGGGTGCGTGCGCGGAGATCGACACCGGAGGTGACCCCAAGGACTGCAATGGTGTCGAATGTATCTCGGGCCAGGCCTGTGTTCGAGGCCAGTGCCGACCCATCACCATCGGCATCTCGGGCCCCCGGCCGTCTGAATGTGGATCCAACGGATGCGGCACCGGCGAACACTGCATCTCGGGAACGTGCGTCAAGCTCACTGGTGACCCGCAGAAGTGCGGTTCCTCGACCAACGCATGCCCCGCGAACAACCTCTGTATTCTCAACAAGTGTGTTCCTGTGGATACCGGCAGGGACCCCGAGAACTGTGGCTCCGAGGGCAACGTGTGCCCGTCGGGTTCAGCTTGCGTTCGAGACGTCTGTATCCCCATCAACGGTGGCAGCATTCCGCCGCCCCCGGACAAGTGCCCCTCGACCTGTGCGCCGGGCACGATCTGCGTCGGCACCGAGTGCAAGCCCTTGCAAAAGCCCGATCAGTGCGCAGACGGCTGTGGTACCGGAAATGTCTGCCTCGATGGCGCATGCACGCCCGTCGAGAGGCCTGACGCTTGTCGACCCCTCTGTTTGCCTGGTGCCGCGTGCATCGACAACACTTGTGTACCGATAGCCAGCTCTGACAGCTGCAACCCTGGCTGCTCAATGAGCGAGGCGTGCATCGGTGGCACTTGTATCCCTATAGATCCCAGAGACAAGTGCCGGCCGCGCTGTTTTGGTGGAGCTGCCTGTCTCAACGGTGTCTGCGTTCCCACTCGCGGCGCTGGCGCATGCTCGCAGACTTGTGTCGAGGGCAGCGTCTGCTTTGGAGGCGAGTGTCAGCCTATCCAAACACCCAAGGAGTGCGCACCCAACTGTGCTCGTGGATCCGTCTGCATTGCAGGGTTCTGCCAGCCGATTCAGGCCCCCATCGACTGTGGTCTTCGTGGCCGCAACTGCCCGCTCGACACGAACTGCCTGGCTGGCAACTGTGTGCCGATCAGAGATCCCAATTCGTGCACCGATGACGGCGAGCCTTGCCCGAGCAACCACCGTTGTGTTCAGGGACAGTGCGTTCCCACGCGTGTTAGCGGCTGCAACCCCGCCTGCGAGTCTGAGACGGAGCTCTGTGTGGATGGCGTCTGTTCTGCCATCAAGGATCCCTCTTCCTGCGGCTCAGGAGGCGGCCAGTGTCTGCCGGGTCACATGTGTGCAGGTGAGCAGTGTTTGCCTATCATCGGATCAACTGGCTGCACTTCCAAGGGCCGAGACTGCGAAGATGGCTTCGTCTGTGTAGCAAAGAACTGTGTGCCCGTTTCGTCGTCCAACGACTGCGGTGAGGGAGGCACTCAATGCTCCGATGGCGAACTTTGCCTCGCTGGCCGCTGCACGGCGCAAGCACGGCCGGACCCATCTGCTGGGTGTACCGATCCAGCATGCAAAACGGGCGAGATCTGTATCGACGGATCTTGCACTACACTGACAGACCCTGCGGCTTGCGGACCTTCGAGTGCGCCTTGCCCTGCCGGCACCTTCTGCCTGGGCGATGTCTGCACACGCCTTGGCGATCCCACCGACTGTGATCGCAACGGCCTCACTTGCGATGCGGGTGCCATCTGCGCGGCAGGCACTTGTGTCCCCGCCCAGTCGCCGACCAACTGTGGTGGCCCAGGTCAAATCTGCCCTGCCGGCCAGCAGTGTTTCGCTGGTCAATGTCTGCAGTTCCAGGACGCCAAGGGTTGCGGCACCGGCATTGCCTGCGGAACCGGCCAGCAGTGTATACACGGAACCTGTGTGTCCATCGGCGTCACACAAGACTGTGGCAACACCGGAGCGCCATGCAAGGCCACCGAGAACTGTGTCGAGGGCTCGTGCCGACTCTTGCCTGTTACAGGAGCTTGCGGTACCACTGGAGGACCTTGCCCTGTCGGAAACAAATGTGTTGCTGGCGCCTGCGTGCTGCCCTTCGGATCCTGTGCTGGTGGTGCTTCTGGGACTACTTGCAGTGCCGGGCGCATCTGTCTCAACGGTGGTTGTGTTGCCGTTGATGATCCTGATGGTGACTGCGGCAGCACCGGAGGGCCGTGTCCCGTCTCCTCATTCTGTGCGAGCGGCGTGTGCGTCGGCATTGCCGGACCCAACGATAACTGTGGAGCCACCGGTGCTCCGTGTGCCGCCGGATCTGTCTGTATCGACGGCAGCTGCACGGAGGCTACGGGCCCAGAGACACCGTGCGGGCAGACCAACGAGCCCTGCTCCCGCGGCGCCACCTGTGTCGGCGGCGCTTGCTTGCCGGGAGCGGGAGACGGAGACAATTGCGGCGACACTGGAGGCCCTTGCGAGAACGGCCTGTCTTGCATTGCCGGCGTGTGCTTCGGCAATGTGAGCGAAGTACCAAGTACCGGAGCTGACCTGCCTGCGGGTGGAGGAGACCAGCCTATTCCAGGAGGAGACCAATCTACCCCCGGAGGAGGCCAAACTGTGCCTGGAACAGACCAAGCTATTCCTGGAGGAGACCAAGCTATTCCTGGAGGAGACCAAGCTATTCCTGGAGGAGACCAAGCTCTCCCAGGCCCCGTAGACGGCATCACCAAGCCCGTCATTCCCGGGGACGGCAGTCAGCCGATTGGGAGCCCCGACCTCCCTATTGTTGCTGATCCAAACAACCCGACGACCGGCGGCGGTGGTGTTTCCGTTCCTCCCGCTACTGGTTCCACGCCGCCTGTTAACACGTGTGGCCCTGCCGGACAGCGCTGTGCTGCGGGACTACTCTGCATCGAGGACAGATGTGTCGTCTCACGCGGCCCCGATGACTTCTGTGGCACCTCGGGTCAGGTTTGCCCATCTGGCAGCCTTTGCGTGTCAGGAGCGTGCTCGGCCATTGCTGGGCCTTCTGATAACTGTGGTAACAGGGGAGCTCCGTGCTCCGCAGGTCAGTTCTGTGCGGGAGATTCATGCCTCGCCATCGGGGCGCCCACTGACGTCTGCGGCCCCCTCGGCCGTGTGTGTCCTGCCGGTCAGCTTTGCATGGCTGATCAGTGCGTTCCGATTGAGGCCCAAGGTGCTGTCTGTGGTAGCACGGGGAGCCCTTGCTCCTCGGGTCTGACCTGCGTTCGTGGAGCATGCATCACGACCCCCGAGGGAACTGGCTGCGGCGAGGGAGGCGCGGCCTGTGCCAACGGCTTTGTCTGTGAGAATGATCAGTGCATCATCTCCCCGAAGGATACCTGTGGCCCTGGTCGCGGGCCCTGCCATGATGGTCTCGTCTGTCATGACGGTGTTTGCACGCCGACGGGCTTGCCCATCGGCGGATGCGAAGGACTGAACACGCCCTGTGCGTCTGGTCTCATTTGCGTGTCTGACGTTTGCGTCGTGGACCCTGACCCATCGACATGTTCTGGCGCCGTTTGTGGTACAGGTGAGCTTTGCGTTCATGGCCTCTGCATCGACATTCTCAATGATGCCCTGCACTGCGGCGCCAAGGACACGCCTTGCCCTCCGAACAACATTTGCCGCTCCGGTACCTGTGCTCCGTCCCCCACTGCTTTGTGTGGCGACACAACGTGCGACAGCCAGCTTCAAGTCTGTGTTGAAAATGTCTGCCTCGCCCTCTCGACAGATCTCAACAACTGCGGTGCTGCTGGCACAACTTGCCAAGCAGGCCAGACGTGCATTTCGGGCCAGTGCTCTGACCCGGCAGCACCCACGGGGTGCGGCGGCGACGTCTGCGGAGCTGGCGAGCTGTGTGTTGAAGGTACAATCTGCGTCAACTTGGCGACGGACAACAAGAATTGCGGCAGCGCTGGCACAGCGTGCTCCAACGACCAAGTCTGCGTTTCTGGCGTGTGCACTGCCCTGACATCCCCCGTCTGCGGTCAGACCAACTGCGCCGAAGGCCAGATCTGCTCGTCTGCCACCTGCCTGGACGTGTTCACCGACGCGGCAAATTGTGGCGCCGAGGGCAGGGCCTGTGAGCCGTCTGGCTCGACTTGCGTTGCCGGCAAGTGTGTGCCTCCTGTTCTCGGACAGTGCGGCGGCACGACGTGCGCGGCCTTTGAATCCTGCCGCGACGGGACCTGCTACGATCATCTCGGCGACGTCAACAACTGCGGTGGCTTGGGCCAGTCTTGTTCGGGCACTTGTGTGTCTGGAAACTGTGTGCCCCTGCCTGCGGTTGAGCCGAATCAACCTCGTCAAATCACCGACACGCTGAATCAGGTCGTCAACGACGCTCTCGGACCCAGCGGCCTCGTTCCAAGTCTCCTCGATAACATTGGCAAGGGACAGACGAGCAACCTCGTCCCTGACATCATCAAGGGTGTCTTGGGTGACGGAACCTCTGCTGGCGGCGGTCTCCTTCCTGGCATACTGGACAAACTCGTCAACCAGGGCGCTATTCCTCCAGCGACTGTCACTGATCTCATCGGACCCAACGGTTCGCTTCCTCCGCTCGTAGACAGTCTCCAGGATAGCATCGCCAAGGACAGCACCGGCAACATTACCAACACTGTGCTGCCGCCTCTTCTAGGGGGCCTTATTGGCAACGGCACTACCGAAGGCGGTGGTCTCATCCCAGGCCTTCTCGACGATATCAGCAAGGGAAATCTCGGCAATGTCTTGCCTGGCCTCATCGACGGCTTGATCGGCAGTGGCACACCCGGACAGGGCACCGTTGGTATCCTCCCGCCGCTCATCACCGAAATCCTTGGCCCTACTGCGGAGAACCCACTTGCAAACATCGGCACTGTCGTCCCCGGAGGCCTGGGCGCTGCTATCGGCAACGTCACGACGCCAGAGCAGCTTCAGGAGGTCCTCCCTGGTGCTGTCGGAGACTTGCTCAACGGAACTCTGCCCGAAGATGTCGTGAACAGCGTCATCGGTGGACTTGACAACAACACCGTTACCATTCCCAACACCGGCACTGTCCCTGCGACCAACCTCCCCGGGGATGCAGTCGGCGGGCTTCTGGATGGACTCCTTAACAACGCGACTTCGCCTGACGTTCCCAACATTCCAGCCGCCTCTGGCCCCCTCATCGACTCTCTGCTCAATGGCAAGCCTCCGGTGAACACCCTCCCTGTCATCCCCGGCGGATCTACAGGAGAACTCCCCGTCGTCGGCGGGCTTGTAGAAAACGGAACGCTGCCTGCCAACATCACTGGCGATACTGTAGTGGGCGCCATAATTGGTGGTCTGCTTAATAATGGCACGGTGCTGCCAGGCTCGCCGACGGCTGAGCTCCTTGATGGCCTGACGGGCGGTCTCACGGGCAACAACGCCTCCGTGCCCGACACGCCTGCTGGTAATCTTGGATCAACCCTCGGCGGGCTCATCAACACGACTGCGCCCATAGGCTCGGCAGCCGGCGACCTCCTGACAGGCTTGATCGGCGGCGTCACTGGAAACAATACGGACATCATTCCCAAGAACCCCGCAGGTGCCGTCGGTACCATTGTCGGCGATCTCATCAAGAACGGCACAACGCTGCCGGGCACGCCCCTTGGTGACGCCCTCGGTGGTATCACTGGCCCGAACCCTCCTACAGGCAACGAGCTGGGCGATGTTCTCGATGGTCTCCTTCCCAACGGCCCACCTGCCGGTATTCCGGCAATTCCCACGACCGAGGAACTCGAAGGCCTCGTCGAGGGTCTCAAGCCCGTGGTGACGGCACCTGGGGTTGTTCCTCCGTCAGGTGGATTCATTGGCGGTGTTATTGGCGGCGTCCTGAACAACGGCACCGGTATCGGCGCGCCCGAGCTTCCATCCATCGGCATTAACCTGCCTACTTTGATCGATTCTACCCTGGGAGGCACCAACGTGACTGGCTCGGATGTGCCCGGGCTCAATGTTACTCTGCCTGCCATTTTCGATGGTCTTCTGACAAACGGCACCATTGACCCTTCGCTGGGCGGTGCGCTGACCGATATTGTCGGCGGCACACTGAACAACACGGCGACTACCGGCCCCACTCTTCCGCTCATCCCCGGCCTCCCCGGAACCACCCTTCCGGGTCTTCCGGCCGCTGGAGGTTTGGTCCCCGGTGTGCTCGGCAGTCTTCCTAGCGAGGAAATCGGTGATCTCCTGACTCCTGTTGTTGGCACTGGAGATGGCCTGATTCCCAAGCTCATTGACAATGTCAAGAACGGTGCGACCGACACGATCATTCCAGATCTCATCAGGGATGCGCTAGGTGACGGCACGCCTACCAGCGGCGGTCTCATTCCTAACATTGTCGGCAACCTGCAGAATGGCACGCTGGACAAGGTCTTGCCAGATGTTGCCAAGGATCTCCTGGGCGCCAATGCGACCCTTGCTACCAACTTGACCAGTGGTTCTCCATCAGACATCCTGCCCGGCCTGCTGAACGATATCTTCGGCAACGGCACTGCCGGCTCGGGACTGATCCCCACAGTCATTGGGCAGGTTCAGAACGGGTCAGTCGAGGCTATCCTGCCCGGCCTCGTCAACGGTGCGCTTGGTAGTGGTAGCCCCACGGGTGCTCTGCCGGGGTTCGTCAACGAGGTTCTCGGAGGAAACGCGACGGCCGGTCTTGGAACCATCCTCCCAGATCTCGGAACCCATCTGCCGGAGCTGATAAATGAGAGCAATGGAGGCATAAGCCTGGTCATTCCCCAGCTTCCTAGTGGTGGAAACGGTACTGGAAACGGCAGCGGCGTTGGCATCATCATCCCCACCCTTCCCGGTGGCAATGGAGCCGGCGGCGCCGGGCCTTGTCATTCCTGATATCGAAAGCGTCTTGCCTGGACTCATCAACGGCACCGGCGGTCTGGCGCCTCTTCTCCCAGGTATCATTGGCAGTCTGCCGGGCATCGGCAATGCTACTGAAGGCGAGCTGGGCGAGATCGTCGCCACCCTTCCTGGTCTGGTGAACGGCTCGACTGGCAGCCTTGAGGATCTCCCTGCTATCATCGACCGCCTGCCTTCGCTCGTCAATGACACGACTGGCCCTTTGGGCGAAGTCATTGCAAGCCTGCCTGGCCTGCTGAACGGCACTGCTGGCTTGGGACCCCTTCTCAACACCCTCCCTGGGCTCTTGAACCAGACTGGTGCCCCTGCCGTGAACCCCTCCGCAGAGCTTCCGGGTGCCACCGGTCTGTTGCCTGGCACCATCGTTCCTGATGTCCTCAACACTCTGCCTGCTCTCACAAACGACGCCGTCAGTGGTGGCAGTGGTATTCTGATCCCCGACTTTGGAGGCCTTGTCAATGGCACCACGGGCGGCGGCACGGGTGTCATCATCCCGGATCTCTCCAGTTCTCTGCCAGGCCTTCTCAACGGCACAGGAAACGCCATCGGTGGTCTTGTGCCTGATGTCGCAAACACCCTTCCAGGTCTCGTGAGCGGTACGCTGCCAGGCCCTGCTGCCCTGGTGCCTGGACTCATCGCCACCCTGCCGACTCTGGTCAATGGCTCCAGCGCAGGCGACATCATCAGCAGCCTGCCCGCTGTCCTGCCCGGCGTCATTATTCCCGCGTCAGAGGTCGACGCTATCGTCGAAAATTTACCTACCCTGACCAACGGCACGTTCCCGTCCATTGGTGCTGGCGCAGGTGTTGACGTGGATGCTGGTGTCAAGATTGGCATCCCGGCCATTCCCTCGCTCCCCCAGATCATCAACAATCTCCCTGATCTGCTGAATAACACCAATATCCCCGTTTCCGTGCCTGAGTTGATCGGCGCTCTTCCCGGGGTGACCCTGCCTACTGGCCCCTCTGTTGATGCCCCAGGCACTCCGGGTGCTCCCGGTGGCCCTGCTGGCGGCGAGGCTCCCGGACCTCTCATTCCTGAAGTCGTAAACAACCTCCCTTCCATTATCAACGGTAGTCTTGGTGGTGGGCCAGGCGCTGGTCTCATCCCCCCGCTGGTCGACAGCCTGCCCGGTCTCGTCAACGAGGCTGGCCCTGGTGACCCTGGTGCCGGTGCTGGCACTGGCCCCGGTACCATCATTCCTGATGCCGTGAACAGCATCCCGGGCGTCATTGGTGGCGCTCTGGGTAACGGCCCCGCTTCCGGCATCGTGCCGGGCCTGGCCAATGCTCTGCCGGGGCTCGTTAACGACACCCTTGCCGGAGGACCGGGCTCGGGCCCCGGAACTCTTCTCCCCGATAACGTCAATAACATTCCCTCGGTAATTGGCGGCGCGCTGGGTAACTCTACCACCTCGGCTGGCCTCATCCCAGGACTCATTGGCTCGCTGCCGGGCATCGTCAATGACACGATTGGCGGAGCGGCGCCCGGTCCTCTGATTCCTGATGCCGTCAACAACATGCCGTCGATCATCGGTGGTGCCATTGGCAGCGTGCCGGGCAACGGCAGCGCCATTGTCCCAGGCCTGCTGAATGACCTCCCTGGCCTCGTCAACGGCGTCTTCCAGAACCAGACTGGCGCCGGCACCGTACTTCCCGACGCCATCAACACGCTGCCTGGCGTCATCGGTGGAGCGCTCTCCGGAGACAATCCTGGCTCGGCTATCCCCACTGTCATTGACAACCTGCCGGGCCTCATCAATGGCAGTGTTGGCCAGACGGCGCCGGACTCTGGCGGTGCGATTCTTCCGGGCCCCTTGAACGAGCTCCCTGGTATCATTGGCGGAGCCGTGAATGGCAGCACCCCAAGCCCCGAGGGCGTCGTCCCAGGCCTCGTCAACAACCTGCCTGCTATCGTGGCCGGGGCCAGCGGTAACCAGAGCGGCGCGGGGAGTATTCTTCCTGGCCCGCTCAACGAGCTGCCTGGCCTTCTCAACTCAACTCTGGGAGCTGGTGGCCCAGTGGCAGGCACTCTGGTGCCCGGTATCGTCAACGGTCTGCCTGACCTTGTCAACGGAGCTCTCAACGGTACCAATGGTGGCTCTAGCGCCGGACCTGGAGGTTTACCCGGCACTCTGCTGCCCGGCGGCCTGAACGAGCTTCCCGGCAATCTCACAGCTGGTCTTCCCAACGGAACGACTGCGGGCACTCTGTTGCCTTCCATCATTGGAGGGCTTCCAGGTGCTGTCAACAGCGTTGTCAATGGCACAGCTGGGACTCTGATCCCGGGCGTCGTGAACCAAGTCCCTGGCATCATCAAGGGTGCTGTGGATAGCGGACCCAATATCGGTCCCCTCATCCCCGGTATCGTCGGCAGCTTCCCAGCCATTGTCAATGGTACTGTGAGCGGAGGCGACCAGCCACAGCAAGACCTCGAGACCCTCATCCCCGGCATCATCGAGACCATTCCTACCTGCGTAGAGGGTGCTTTGGGCAACGTTCCCAACGTCAATCCGGCGGACATCATTCCCATCGTTATTGGCAGACTCCCAGACATCATCTCTCAGCTGCCCAACGTTACGACTCCAGGCCAGGTCCTTCCTGGTCCGCTGAACCAGCTGCCGGGTATCATCTCGGGTGCCATTTCTGATGCCGCCGGTGTTCAGCCTGGCGTCATCGCCCCTGGTCTTGTGGCTACGCTCCCCTCTGTCCTCGAGGGACTCGTCAACAACCTGCCGAACACGGGTGGTGCAGTGCGCCCCACGATTCCTGGCCTTTCCGAGAGCCTTCCTGGACTCTGCGAAGACGCTCTGAACTCTGGATCAGGCGCGCTGATCCCGGAAGTCGTCAACACTCTGCCTGGCGTCATTGGCGGTGCCATCTCCAACGGTCAGCTGCCTGGCTCGGCTATTTCGCTGCCGGACCTGGTGAACAACCTGCCTGGTCTCATCAACGAAGCGCTGAACAAGGGGCAGGAGGAGTGCATCCCGGGCCCGGTCAATAATTTGCCAACCACGATTGGCAACGTCATTTCCAACGGAAGCCTGCCTATCCCTAATCTGCCCATCAGCGACATTATCAACAACCTGCCAGAACTCATCAATGGCGCCATCCAGACGGGAGCGGGCACTCTGATCCCTGATCGCCTGAACAACCTCCCTGCGGATATTGGCGTCTCTCTGAATGCTACCGTCGGCCTGCCGGTCCCCGAGATCCTCGCGAATCTGCCATCCATCATCAACAATGCCGTCAGCAGTGGTAATCCTGTCGCTATTCCAGAGGTAATCAACAATTTGCCTGCCACCATCGGCACGGCTGTGGGTGGTGCTACGAACCTGATCCCCCAGATCATCGGAAATCTGTCGGCCCTGGTGAACGAGGCTATCAACAGCGGCGCAAGCACAGTGCTCCCTCCAGTGATCAACAACCTGCCGGTCACCATCGGAGGCGCCCTCAACGGTACTACCCTGCCGCCGGCTATTATTTCCAACCTCCCAGCACTGATCAACGGTGCCATCGGCAACGGTAGTGAGACCGCCGGTGGTGCGGCTACGCTTCTTCCGGAGGCTATCAACACCCTGCCGGCTGTTATTGGAGGCTCCCTCGGCGGCCTCACCGGCAACGCGGCTAGTCTGGTGCCTGCCATTGTCGCCAACCTCCCAGGCTTGGTGACTGGCGCCCTGCAATCTGGTGCTGGGACCTTGGTACCTCCCAGTGTCAACAACCTTCCAACTACGATTGGAGAATCTCTGGGAAACCTGACAGGCAACGCTGGTGCTCTCGTCCCCGAGATCATCAACAACCTGCCAGGTCTCATCGCAGGCGGTCTAGTCGGTGGCACGGGCACGCTTCTGCCTCCCGCCGTGAATAACCTCCCTGCCGTCATCGGCGGTGCCCTAGGCAACGTCACGGGCGCTGCTGAATCTCTGGTGCCCCAGATCATCGCCAACCTGCCTGGCCTCATTACTGGTGCCATCGGCAGCAACAGCACGACCTTGATCCCTGACGTTGTCAATACGCTGCCTGTCGTCATTGGCGGAGCGCTGACGAACAGCTCGATCGGTTTCAACCCTTCGATCATCAATAACCTGCCGAGCCTCGTGAACAATGCCATATCGGGCGGAAACACGACAATCATCCCCCCTCAGGTGAACAACATCCCGGCCGTCATCAGCGGCGCCATCGCCAACGGCACGACGGCTGGTGACCTGATCAACAACCTCATCGGGAACGGCACCGCGACCGCCGGGGGCCTGCTGCCCATCTTGTCGGGCACTCTCAACGGCAATGTCTCCATCGGAGGGAGCAGCCAGGGAGTTCTTCCTGGCCTCATCGCCAACGTCTCTGTCGACGCTCTGGGCCCCAACATCCCGACGCTCATCAACGGACTCATCGGCACCAATGGCACCCTCAATGCTATTGCGGGCGGTCTGCTCGGAAATGGTACGGCGGGTCTCACGATTCCTGATATCCTCGGCGGCATTGCGGCTGGTACGGGCAATAGCTCTCTCCCAGGCCTCGTTGGCGAGATCCTGGGCAACGGAACCGGAGGAGGAATAATCGGAGGAGGAGGAATCGGAGGAGCAGGTGCTGGACTGGGTGTAGGAGTTACAGTTGGAGGTGGACTTGGAGCTGGAGGTCTTCTCCAGAACATCACGACTGGTCTCATCGGCGGTGGCAGCGGCGGAGCATCCATCCCCGGTGTTCTCCCCGGCATCGTCGCCGCTGGACCTCGCGCCAACACGACGGTCCCTTCGGTCGAGGTGGTGCTCGATAACCTCGGCCTCAGCAACCTCACTGCATCGCTGCCGGCGCTCGTCGACAGCATCATCGGCAGTGCGAACCTCACGGGTAAGAATATCACTGGCCCGGCTGCAAGCCTGATCGACGGTCTGCTTGGTCCCGGCGCCTCGGCGGGCAGCAACGTCACCCTCGGCCCTGCTTCAGGGCCTGGCGCTGGACTGATTCCCAACCTACTGGACAACGTGGCCACTGGCAACGTCACGCAGATCATTCCTGATCTCGTCAATGGTCTTCTGGGCAACGGTACGGCCAACAGCGGCGGTCTCATCCCGGACCTGCTGCAGAATGCCAGCGCTGGTGCTCTTCCGGCGGTCATCCCCAACATTGTCGGCGGTCTCCTCGGCGGCGCGACGGTCGGCGGCGCGGCTGGCGATCTCAACAACCCTGGCGTCGGCGTCAACGGCTCGACCAACGTCAACGGCACGGCCGGAATCGGAGGTATTCTTCCTACGCTTGTTGGTAGCCTCAACAGTGGCAACTTGAGCAACATTGTGCCTGGTATCCTCACAGGTCTTCTCGGAAACGGCACAGCTTCTTCTGGTGGTCTCATTCCGGCTGTGGTTGTCAACATCAACAACGGCACTACAGGCGCCAACGCCAACGCCAATGCCAACGCGACTGCTGACGTTGTCAACACGGGCATCATCGATGGTCTTCTCGGCGCCGGCTCGGGTGGTGCGCTGCTCAACACGGGTGGTCTCCTCTCTGGCACACGCAACCTGCTCACCGACAGTCTCAACTGCGGCGCCATCGGTATCGTCTGCCAAGGCATACAGATCTGCCGCGCCGGTGTCTGTATCAACTCGAGCGGACCCTCTGGCACATCTACCATTCCTGCCGCTGGCACCCCGACCAGCCCGGCTGCTGGCATCTCGACTACTGTCGTCCCCGGCCAGGGTGTCGTCGACCTCCTCAACGACTCGCTCAACTGTGGACGTCTTCTCAACGTGTGTCTCTTTGGCCAGATCTGCAGCAACGGCCAGTGTATCGTCGCCGGCGCAACGACAACTGCTCCTCCCGCCGCGGCGCAGCCAACAACGACGGCACTGCCGGCTACCACGACTGTTGCGGGTGGCAACATCATCAACTTCCTGACCGACAATCTCAACTGCGGCAGACTTCTCAACGTCTGTCTCTTCGGTCAGGTGTGTCGCGAAGGCCAGTGTGTCTCGGCCGCTCAGGCCACGACAGCTGCCATCGCCCCAGCGACGACGACGATTGCCGTCCAGGTCACGACCACGGCGGCTGGAGGTCAGTTGACCACGGTTCAGGTTCCCACGACCGTCGTCGCCGCGGCACCAACAGCCGCCGGTGCTGATGCCGCCGTCGGTATCGTCGACCATCTCAATGACAGCCTCAACTGCGGTCGCCTCTTCAACATTTACATCCTCGGCCAGACTTGCCGCAACGGTGTCTGCGTTGCTTCTGGCGCTGCTGTCCCGACTACCACTGCTGGTACCACGGCGCCTACAACAACTGCCCGTGCCACAACTACGGCTCCTGTCGTCGGTACCACGACTACTGCTGCTGCTGCTGCTCCCACGACTACTGTTGCTGCTGCTCCCACGACTACGGCGGGTGGTGCCTTTGGTGTCGTTGATTTGCTCAATGATGCCTTGAACTGCGGCAGGCTGCTCAACATTTGTCTTTTCGGCCAAGTATGCCGCAGCGGTGTCTGCGTTGCTGCTGGAGCCGCCGTGCCCACGACCACTGCGCCAGCGACGACTGCGCCAACGACGACTCTGGCTGCTACCACAGCCGTCGTCACAACAACCCTCCTTACCGCGACGCGCGCAGCTACGACGACCACCGTTGCTGGCGTCCCTACAACCATCGCTGGGACTACCACCATCGCTGCGACTATCACTGCCGCTGTCGCCCCGACTACCACGACTGGTGCTGCCACGGCTACTACCACTGGAGGAACGCTGGCTGTCAGCCTCGATCTTCACACGGACCGCCTCAACTGTGGTCGCATCGGCAACATCTGTCTCGGCTCTCAGACTTGCTCCAGCGGTCTCTGTATCTCCGTCGGCGGAGCTGTCGTTGGCGGTAATACTATTGCCACAACTGCTACGGCTGCGACGACCACCACCACGAGCACCACTGCTCCGGCGGCTGCGGCCCCGACGACCACAGCTGGCACGACCACACGTGCTGCCACGACGACTACGGCTGCTGCTCCCACGACGACCGCTGCCGCGCCAACCACGACCGCTGCTGCGCCAACGACCACCGGTGCTCAGACGAACGTTGCCATCGCCGTCTCGACCACGCCGACGACGGCCCCCGCGGCGGTCCCTACGACCACGGCACGAGTGACTACCACAGTCCCGACCACGCCTACGGTCCAAGCAGTCCCCACGACTCCAACGGTCCAAGCTGTCCCCACGACGCCCACGGTCCAGGCAGCCCCGACAACGGTCCGCGCCGCCACGACAACTGCCGCCGCGCCCACGACCGCTCCTCAGGCGGCTACCACAACCCAGCGCGCCGCCACCACCACCGCCCCCTCGACCGGCTCCAGCGGGTCCACCGGTTCAAGCGGCTCAGGCGCGTCGTGCGGTGGCTTCTTCAACCTCATCCCCTGCATCTTCCCCCTGACGTGCGTCAACGGACGCTGCCAGCTGCTGGGAGTGATCGGGTAGGGGGCCCCTTTCTTGTTCTTTTTCCTTATCTGTCGGAAGGATGACGATGGTTTCCTTGTGTCTATAAGTGATTTACTTTCTTAACCCAGTGGGGGCTTCCTCTCGCTTTTGAATGCCTGTTACTTTCTTTTAATGTGAATAGTACTATGCCAGTTCGCTGGTCAGCAGGCAACAGACTAGACGGACTTTACTAGTTAATATAGTAGCACGCTATGTTTCTGTAGCCGTGAGCATGATAATGAACCTGTTGCTACATGGAATCTTCCAATACTGTATGGCGCAGGGTCGCCTGATAATAATAAACACGAGAAAACTCAGAGGGCTTCATTCACTTGCTTAGGAGAAACGAACAGTGCATTCCTCCTTATACGCCTTCAGCTGCGCCATCTTCTTCTCTATGAATAGCTCTAGCTCTGTGCGCGCTATATCGTCATGCAACTTAATGCCGGTGCCCTCGTCATATAGCGCAGCCCAATATATAGTATCTATATCGAAACTTTTCCTAGCTACATAGTTAAACTAGAAGCGACCGGACCTCTACGAGTGACGCATCTGGGTGGACAGACGGGGGCCAGTGAGTGTCTGCTCCTCTGAGACCCGCATGCCTTCCACGAGTTCTAACGCCTGCAAAAACTGCTCCATTCTTGGCTCGTAGAGGTCCCGGAACTCTTCTATGCCGCGACGATCGAGCCACAGTTCTGGCCCAGACAACAGGAGCCACCAAGGCGGATCATACGAGAACTATGCCGGCATAGCGTTTATGAACTCAAAATCGAGTACCGCTGTGATTTGAAAAGTCGCTGGATTGACAAGCATGTTTGAAGGCCGTAGGTCATCGCAGAAAAGGAGAAATGGTCCAGCATCGTTGAGGCAGTACTTCGCGGTAAGCTGGACGAATCGATGCCGGACAATAAATCGAGCCTGAGCAATTTCCGAGTCATCGGCGAGGTTGCGCTGAGTCCAGAGGTGGGTCAGATGCTCATGGGCGACTGATGCAAAGTAGTCGCCGGCGCGATCGAAGGTCGAGGTCGGAAAGAGGTCATCTGGGTAACCTGCGACGGTGGCCAACTCATTCATATTGTAAGTGAGTGGTCTTTTGGTAACGGACCATGTGCCACCATCTTTCGAGATGGCTCCGATGCGGGTGAATGAAAGCTGAGAAAGTGGGAGAAGGTAGTCTGCGACTTGACGGTAGATTGTGTCCAACATTGAGTTGTCGACGTCTGGGTCCAGGACCATATCCTCTTGATCGCTTTCCGTCGGCTTCTTTAGGACCTTCGACAAAAGTGTCCCCTCAACGTAATCCATGATGATATACGGACCAAAGTGTTGCGGGCTCTCGGCGGTGAAACCCCCATTGTGAATATGAGGGATAGGAATCGTTGTGTGTTGGCGGAGATACTCCATGACCTGGACCTCGTTCGCGACCTTCTCGTCTCTAAGGGTCGCAGCTGTGCGTCCTGGCTTTGGGAACCGAATAATGGCGTCTGGGCCCCCATCGCTGAACTTGAAACGGAAGCTGAAGTTGAAGGAACCCTTGAGGAAACCAACGTACTCTGTGGCTCTAACCCCTCCCCGGCGAGCAGCAACAAATGTTGCTAGCTCAGCTTTGGCGTTCGAAAAGTCTACTCAACCAGGCCTTGCATTCATCATCGCCGTTAGTCTCCTCTATCTCGTCGAAATACGTTTCAAGTGATGATGTCTGCATGTTCTTAGACATGTGGCTGCGGAAATAGCACGGACGGCCTGAAACGTCGTTCAAGGAGCCTGTGAGACGGAAAGAGGGGAGAATGCTTTGGTACGGGTTAACGTGTCGCCGAGCTTTCAGACAACATCAGTAGTGCACGTGATTGAGAAGAGCCAGACTACGGCTTGCGTTTCCATGAGAAACATTGAAATCACCATAAGCAACAGCCCAAAGCTGGGCTGCTTGTGACTGCAATGGCTTCTACGCATCGCGGTTGAATCCTTCGCCGTTTTGATTTCGGCTCGTAGTCATCGAGCATCTTGGCAGCAAAGTAGGCGGTTGGTGCGCTGGATCAGGCAGAAAGCTTCGAGAGGCAGTCGTTCAGGGCTTGAATTGAAGAGGTTGAATTCCAGCGGTTAGAGTGTACAATAACCTGGAACTGGATAGTCAGAAGACCAAGGGGACTGCAAGAGAGGCAAGGTTGGGGAGAAGAGAAGATGGGCCGCAACCCAATAATTAGCCGCCAGCCCCCAGGAGCCCCCGCCTCAAGGCAACCAACGCATCACTGGGCGAGGCAGGCCTCAGCCTGACCCTACATCATCAGGCTGGCACTTGTGTGCTACAAGCTTGAGAAACTCGGCATCTTGGCGTGAATCATGCTGCGAACTCAAAGGCCTCCTTTCGACAAGTCACACCAGTTGACGCCGGATGCGGAAGAGAAAAGTGAGGGGGCCAAGCAGGTCCCTGGGTATCCTCGGGTTAGTCTGAATGACCGGTCCAGAGTCTTGGACTTCCTGACCGAGGAGTTTTGCAACGACGACCTCGACAAAATGGCAGGCAAGCTGTGGTTGATGTCGAGACAAAGCAGCGAAAACATCTCCCCACTGCACCGGCAAGCGGTTAAGCGCCGGACGATCGTCGTCACGGAAGAGCCGAAGCTCCACTTAGTCTGGTACCACGACCGAATCTTCGTCAAGCCGCTCCCGCGCTACCTCGGAGACTACGGCTTCTGGCACGATCACATCTGCGCCAAAGACGGCACGGACGAGCGAGCCCTCCGGGTCCAGCGCGCGGCGCTGGGGTTCATCCGGACGTACTATCATCTGATCCGCTCCGAGACCGACTTTCGCATCGCCAAGGACCCGAGCCTGGCCCTGATACCAGAGCATGTGACGTGGGAGGACTTCTGCGCCTTCACAGGGAGTCTGAATACCATCGAGGACCGTGAGGTCTCGGAGCGGTACCAGTACGGCGAAATCCGCCTCACGCGCCTTAACATGTACGCGCCATTTCTGCTCGGCAAGTCGCACTTTCAGCGGGTGGAGTACCAATACGGACCGTACTTTGCGCGGCTCTTTGTCCCCATTCTGTTCGTCATGGGTGTTTTGTCGGTGATCTTGAGCGGCATGCAGGTTATCTTCACAGCGAGCGAGGGGGGCGCCGCGGTGAGGAGCCGGCGATGGGCGGATGCCGCGGTCGGATTCAGCGTGGCATCGATTGTCGTGGCGTGTGGGCTTCTCATTGTGCTCGGGGTGGCTGTTGTGTACAAGATATGTATGGAGTGGCAGGTTGCGATTCGAGATCGCCGACGGCTGACGAAGCAGAGAAACAAGGAGAAACAGGGTCAGGCGCCTGGGAGGGGAAACGCCTAAGGCCATGGGACCACATATAGCAGGAACATGCGAGCGATTTGAAGTCGATGTTTCTTGGTTTTTGATAAGACAGCCATGAACCATAATGTGATGCTGCGACTCACGACTCTCGGCTTCTACCCAGGCACCTTTCTCACTTCGGATTGATTAGGCCTCGCAGCCTTGTCAGCCGATGAACAGTGTGTCCGAGGAACAGGCCCTCCAATCTACTGCCTTTCAAGGCTGAAGATGCAAAAAGAGTGTTCGTGGGCACGAAGCGGACGAGGAAGGCGGAGGTAGCACATGGGTTGGTTTCCTAGGTACCTACCTAGGTATTCAAGCATGCCGATTGAAGAGATAGCAGCTTGAGCAGCATAAATGAGAATGCATAGTATCTGGGAGTATCCGAGATGATGAAATCAGTATCTGCGGCACCTCTTCAAGATCTTCGCACGAGTATGTTGATGGACTTCAGGACTCCGGGCTCATCATGATCTCCAGACACCAGGAGGATTCGAGATCACGTGACGCGATAAGCAGAGCGATAAGCAGGTCCATGTGGAGATGGACGCTGCTGGCCCTGGCCTCACCCGTCAGGCCGCCAATTGGAGACTTGGAGACATGGAAAAAAGTTCAATCGCGAAACCCCCTTCACCACGCGATCCCGACGACGACAAGGGGAAGCAGAGCAGCAGCAGACGCAGAAGCACCAGCCGAAGCCAGCCACCCCAACACCCAGACACAATGGTCCGACCACGCGTGAGATTGCCGCGCGTCCGCCTCGCGCAGCAGCTGCAGCAGCGCTCTCTGCACAGCGTCCCCAAGCTCGACCACGACTTCAGCAATGGTGTCCCCGGCGTGCTGTCGGCCGACGGTTTCCAGATGGCGTGGACCGAGTACATGACGCACACGCTCGACAAGCTCAACGCGTTGACGGCTGGTATGTCTCTTCCCTTACGGATGTGCCGAGCCACGGAAGAAGGGATGGTTCCAGGACATGTTGGGCCCCCAAGCCCATCACGCACATCATGACGGCAACGACCGACAAGGTAGATGGATCACAGCTGACAAGGAACCCCAGGCACCGACCTCGAGACGCGCGACACGAAGCAGATCATCCACGCAACGGCCCGCGACCCCGACCAAGCGCCCATCTTCAACCACGCCTCCATGGCCCACAACACGCACTTCTTCTTCAAGACGCTGACGCCGACCCCGGAACCCATGCCGTCGCAGCTCGCCGCCGACCTCTCGACCGCCTTCTCCTCCCTCGAGACCCTGCGCCGTGAGATGACGCTGACGGCCGCCTCCATGTTCGGCCCGGGCTTCGTCTGGCTCGTCAAGGCCTCCTCGTCCGCCGCCTCCACCGGCCCCTCGGCCGCCGGCATCCTCTCCTCCGCCGGCGGGCCCGCCTCCTCCTCCTCTTCGTCGTCCTCCTCCTCCTCTTCCGCCGCGGCGGGCGCCTCCCCCTCGGGCGCCGAGTACCGCATCCTGACGACCTATCTCGCCGGCACCCCCTACCCGGGCGCCCACTGGCGCCTGCAGGGCCGCGACATGAACACGGCCGGCGCCGGCGGCTCGGCCTCGGGCTTCCTGCGCAGCACCCAGCGCGCCAGCCAGCTCGGCGCCAAGCCCCCCGGCTCCCTCGACCTCGTGCCCCTGCTGTGCCTCAACACGTGGGAGCACACCTGGCTGCGCGACTACGGCATCGGCGGCAAGCGCGCCTTTGCCGAGGCCTGGTGGGATGCCGTCGACTGGTCTGTTGTTGCCGAGGCGGCCAGCATTCGCCCGCGGCCGGCGTTCCAGGTCTGAGCACGGGTCGGGCGAGAGAGGGAGGGGAACACGCAATGTGTCCACTGTGAAATGGAGGAGGCGGGACTTGGCACGGGTGTGTAAGATAGCATTGCAATGTATAGAAAGGCAGAAAAACGGATGTACTATGCTGTATTTGGCTGGCTGGCTTGTTGGTGCTAACATGTGTGATGCTGTCTGATGATGTGACTGCTGATTGCAAGCTCTGAAAAGGGCATCGCATCTGCATGGTGATGTGTTGGCAAATATGCGGCACTTCTTAGCTGCGTCTCATCATCTCGACATGCTGTCCGACGGGTACATGATTCAGTCATCCAGGATGTCGAGAATCACAGGTAGAGGCGAGTATTTCCAGGAAGCACTTGCTACCTTCAATATCCGAACCCAAACATCCGAGATCGCGAACAGGCACTGAAAGAAAGAGCACCACGGGCTCCACTTTTGAATGAGACGAGTCGCCCTCTGGCCACTCCGACTTCATGAGCAATATGCACATAGGACTGTCCAGGGATCAATTCTCACCTGCTGCCGCTCAAGGCTCCGCGTCAAGGCTAGTTCAAAGTCATCTTACAGCTCTGTACATCGTCACGAACGAGCACAAACATCTCATACGTGCGCAATACGCAAGCCATGCTTGATTGCAGACTAAACTACCCAGAATCGACCTCCACCACCCTCATAAGGAGCGTCCAATCAAAAAGGTATCACGATGCCACGCCGGAAATGACAAAGATCCAAAAATCAAGGGGGGGTTCAGCTCTCGAGAGCACCCATCCCCAACAACATCTTTTCCAAAGGAGAGGAGAGAACATATCCAAATGCCAGAAGCAACAAAAAGAAAGACAAGACACGTCGCCGGCAGCCTCGCCAGGGGCGTCATGGTCATCGCAGACCCTTGCCAACAATTTCTGACCTCCCGTCATGGTCTTTCGTCCTCACACCTAAATCATGTTCCCATTAACGCTCACTTCAAAGCCCTGTCCCTTCTGCCTCAGCGCCTTGGCGAGCATGAGCTCTCTCATCCAGTCGATCCTCTCATCCCGGTTGCGCACCGCGAAATGATGTGTCTTGCCGGTTCCGTTGACGCCCTCAGCAGGCACAGTGGCACCGCTGAAAGAGAAACCCGACTCCCTCTTCCTCAGCTTCGTCGTGACGCCGTTTCCATTCTTATCCTGCGGGATGAGCTGGAACGCAAAGGCACCAACGCTATCCAGATCGCGACTGCCAGAGTGGAGATGCACGCGCTTAAACGCGGCGCTCAACTTGCTCTGGCTCGCGAGCGACGAGCACGCAATGGCGTAGTCATCAATGTCAACATATTCGAGGGCGCGCTCGAGGTGCACGGCGTCCTTGTGCATGGCCAGGCGCGTTCCCTTGAGGGTGAAGTAGCCGTCGTTCCACTCGTGACGGAGCATGCGCGTCTTGCGCTTCTTCATGGGTCCCTGGTAGGAGATGCCACTGTCGAGGGTCGTGGCAGTCAGGGGCGTCTCAACAATCGAGGTCGCCGAGGCGGCGGCGGCCTCGCGGACGGGCACCGAGGGCGGGATGGCCTGCTCGAAAGTACGACCTTCAGTGGCGGGAGACCAGGGGTAGGCAACGCGGGGAGGGGCCTTGACGGAGGCGCGCTGTGGTGAGCCGCGGACGGGGGAGGTACGGACTGGCGAGGTGCGCACCACCGGGGTGGCGGTGTTCTCGTCCAGAGCCGGGAGCACGGGGAATGAGGGACGGCGAGCGGAGGCGCGGGATTGGGTCATGGCTCGTGCAGGAGGTGGGTTGGAGGAGGAAATGGTGTGGTAGTTCATGTCAGGGGGCACAGACTGAGAGACGTTACGCTCAATGTGATCCACGGGAACGGCTGTGACGGGGACATCCATCTCAGAGAAGGGGGTACCGAAGCGGTACGGGTTGGTGGGTGTCATCAGATCCGGAGAGAGAGGTTCGGCCTTGTCCATGCGGTAGGGCACAAAGGCATGCTCCTGCGACGACGACGACGACGATTGTTGCTGCGTCGGCTGAGGGACTGACGGTGGTGGCACGCTCGTGGCTCTTGAGGAGTCGAGCCGCAGAGGTGACTTGCCTGGGATGGCGAGTTTGGGGAGTGCGCGCAGGCCCTCCTTGGGCGCCTTCGTCGAGGCCAGAATCTCAAAAGGGGGCGTCGGCGGGACCTCGTTGGCGCTGCACTGCTGGAAGTCGAGGAACTGCCTGACGTTGTCCTGGGGGTCTCTCGCTTGCACACCACGCAACGCAGCCTCCTGCAGGTACTGCATGGGCGGTACACCACCAGTGCCGAGGATGTCTGACGACGCGACGACGGAGGGGACGGCATCCGACATGGGACGCATGATTTCAGAAGGGTCGAGGGCGCGGGCAGTCATGGGGTTGCCAGGATCGCCAGCGACGAGCACAGCACCGCTCTCGAGGTCCACAAAGGGATGCTCTTTGCGGAAGGCATCAATCAGGCGCTGTGCCTTTCGGTACTTGGAGCAGTTCTCACCCTTGGAGCAGAAGTGCGGCCTGGGGATGTGCTGCTCGATGCCAACGATAGAGACAGACTCGAGGGGTGTGATGATGTCGTCGTGCGACAGCTTCTTGGGCTTCCGTCGGCTGCTCTTTTTCCTCAGCAGTCCTTCGCCTTCGTCCCTGCGCTTCTCCCTCTTCACCTCGCGGCTCGGCTCGTCTTGAATCGGTGTCGGCGCCCTCGGTGAGCTGGGTCGGCTGTCGCGCAGGTTCTGGATCTGGTGCCAAACATTGTGGCGCATGCCAAAGGAGGGAATGTCGAGCTCCTTGAGGTCCTCGAACTTGAGGGTAATGAGAATCGCACCGTTGATGTCATTCTGAACGAATCGCTCGGCGACCGAGTACTCTATGCCAGCATTGAGCATCGACTGCGCGACCATTTCGGGGGTCCAGGGCAGGAGGTTCGAGGAGTCCAGTTCGGCCGTGGTGAAGCGCGCAGTAGGGCTGCTGCGACGTCGTGGTGGCAGGGACTGGACAGTCGGGAGAGGCTCGTGCATCATAAAGTGCATGCTCTCGCTGAAGGGAAGCGCCGTCTTGGGCGTGATGGGCGACAGTGTCAGGATGGCCTCCTCCTCAAACGAATGCGTCGTTGAGCTGCGGAACAGATGCGGCCCCCTAGGACCCTCAACGGCCTGTGGCGATATCCCCTCGAGATAGCCCACGCGACTTTGACTTGACCTTGGGGTTGGCACCTCATCGTACGAAGAGAGCGTAGTGATACTTGGCTGGCCACCAGACTTTGACCGTGTTAGTGGGTTTGCGTCGATACCCGGACTTCAACAAAAGATGGCACATACCGAGTTGACGCTGTGACGTGGTGAGTTGTCTTCTGCCTCACTGATGATTTCCTCGTCCCAATCCGTGTCGACAAACTCTGTTGCGACGGAAATGGGACGGTCTTGCGGCTCGCTCTTGAGGCCGAAGAAGGTATCACGCAGATTAGCTTTTTGGCGCATCTCGGAGTGATGCAACCGGCGCTCGCCCATGGTGCGGTGTTGTTGTGTGTAATGCTACGTGACCGTGTTAGTCTGTGGTGCTCGCCTGGTTTTGTGAGCGAGCTCAGGTACAACTTACCAAGCTCATGATTTTGTTTTTGTGATTTTGTTTTGAGGGGGGGAATAGTTCGCCAAGTTAAGTAGTATCCGGCCGCCCCAGTTTGCACGGGGTGGGAAGGGAACCTCTTGTCAGCAAGCCGTTGCCGGCACTTCTAGGTTGTATCAAAGAGGCAGTG